GGGGGGGTCTCTTGAAGGGAAACAGCAATTACATGCAGATGAGTTGCAAAAAGTCAATCTTCACTTTACATACTTCTACTGGGTGCAGCTTGTTTTGATATTGTGTTCTGCCATCACTCACTTTAACTGTTAATTAGCATGATTGAGATGAATATTCTTGGATTTACTACTTTAGTGTTATGGGTGTTTTCTTGGACTTACTGTTTGTACTTATCTCTCAATATGATTGAAATGTTTTGGTAATACATGCATAGTATACAGCACCTGTTAGAAAAAGTGGTCTATTACAAGTTGAAGGAGCTAGAAGAGAGCTAGAGGCAGACCGAAAAAGACTTGGGTTGTAAAAAGAAATGATTAAGTGCCCATAATTTAATGATGGATATGGCTCTAAACCAAACAGAATGGCAAAACAGGGTTCATGTGGCCAACCCCATATGATTGTTGGGACAAGGCTTATATGATGATGATGATGACAACGACAATGGCAATATTGTAGATTCAAATTCAATGTACCACTTTTAGCTCATTCGAAAATCAAAATATGCAACACCCCACTGGGAGCAGATTTCTATGCCTCCAGTCCTGAAATATTGTAGATTTAATATTTGCTCCGAATCCTGAAAATATTGTAGATTTCTATGCCTCCAACTCGGTGTATTTGCAATTCAGTTTAGTATAATTTGAAGAAAATTTGGACCTATATCTCCTTGTGAATCTGAACTAGAAAAGGATTTTCAAATGGAATACACTTTAGTCTGATATGATCAAAAAACAGCCAATATCTGTAGTCACTGAAAACAAATTCAATGTACAGGCAACAGTTTTTAGTTGACTGAATCAATCTGCCCATAATGAGAGTTATGGAACAGAATGAGCTTCAAGCCTCTTGCACTTTCTGCAGGCTTAGATGTTTTCTTCATGGGGAAGCGATAATACTTCTCTTTCAGAACTACATCATCTGAGCAAGACCAAGTAGGTCCTCTTGGAGTGCTGTCCACCCATAAGAACCTCTCAGAGTATGGGTTGACAAGACTTTCACGGAACTCCTCTGCAGTCTCACAGATCAATCCCTGAAAAATAAAATGACACCGACACCATCAATTATATCCTTACCACTACAAATGAATGAAATTCATTTTGAATATCAAGTAAAATTTTGAAAACAGAAAGGGAAAATAAGGCACGTAAGAAACCCTCTGAGGAGTGGTAGTAGTATAATTACCTCCGCCATGGCCTTGATCTTCAATGTAACATCATTAGTAAGAAGAACGAGCTGTCCATCATTCTTGATTCTTTTGAAAAGGAGAGCGCAGTCAAGGATATGGTCTTCTGCAGTTGGGGAAACAATCTCCATTAAACTTCCAAAGGAAGAAAATGGGACTGAACCCCCATTACTCCCTTCACTTAGTTGTGACCCCGGAGAAGCAGGAGGGGTTGGTGCAATTGGCATGCCCTCCACTGAGTTCTGAACATGAATCCACCACTTGGTTTTCACCATACAGTCTTCTATCCATTCCAATACTGAAGAAACTTCTGTCGCCCGTCTGAACAGGCTTCCACGACGCTTCATACAATCAAGCTCCCTTATGACTGCAAAGGAAATTGTAACAGGATCACATACTTTCTTTAGTAAAACCTAAAATGCACAAACTGTTACACAGTCCAAATTGTGAAATAAAAACCAGAACTCATCAGGCAATAAAATAATTCAATCAAATATACCCATTCTAGGAATTATCAGCTGGGTGCCCTTGAGGCCTTGTAGAAGCTGCAAGGACTTCCTGGACTCTTTGTTTAGAAGAGAAGTTGTGTCCACTACCATGTACCACCTTTTCTTTGCATCTCCAAGAGGTTGATCCTTCTGACAGGAAATATTGTTAACTTCCAGTTTGATGTAGCAGAAGCAAGGAGTTTCTACAATGCATTCAGCAAAATATAAAAGGGGACTGAAAAGTTGTCAATTAACTTACAGGAGATGGATTGATCTTCTTCCACATGGAATGGGAACAGTTGACAGAATTGCTGCTCCTTGTAGCGGCATTAAGGACTGTATCTTCTGTCAAACTCTTGCTGCTAGAGTTTGCAAGTAAACACTGGAATGGTGCCCTTTCTTCTTTTCTCTTAATCTTCATTATGTTTGCAAGTTTTGCTCGATTTCCTGAAGCAAGTCGCCCCGAGAGAACTTTTGGTGTAATATTCTCCTTGTCCGAAGAGAAAAGTGTGTCTTCTTTTCCATCAATTTTGGAACTGCTTGTAATCTTTTCCAACAAAGATTCAGATAATTTTGGGTGTCTGATTTCTTCTAGTCTACCTTTCTTCATGGCTTTCAACGCCAGAGTATTAGGGGTAAGATTTTCCTTATCTGGAGTAAAAATTTCTTCCTCCCCATCCAAACCAGAGAAAAAAGCAGTGGAAGGTGATGCATTTTTATTCTCGTTCTGGTTTTCTGGTTCAATCCCATCACCAGTACAAGATAGCACAGTTTTTCTTATGTTCCTACCAGTTTGAATTTGAAGGGCGCTTGAGGGTTTGCCTCTTCTTGACCAAATGCTCGGGCACTTTTTCTCTGATTTCTCCAGAGGGATTTCCTTATTTTCTGTGTCTGCGAGCACCTCTCTGACACAAATAACTTGCGAGCTCTGGTTTTCTTTGTCAAATTGTTCTTCCGAGGTCTCTGAGAGAACTACATCCACAGGCAATGATGAGTTAACAGATTCCGTCACCCGAGGTTCAGACCAGAAGCTCAAGTTGTCCTGTTGCAGTGGTTTCCTTGTAGGACTCTGTCTTTCTCCTTCAAGCATTTCACCCACAGACTGAACTTCCTCTTGAAGGGCGCTTGAGGGTTTGCCTCTTCTTGACCAAATGCTTGGGCACTTTTTCTCTGATTTCTCCAGAGGGATTTCCTTATTTTCTGTGTCTGCGAGCACCTCTCTGACACAAAGAACTTGCGAGCTCTGGTTTTCTTTGTCAAATTGTTCTTCCRAGDTCTCTGAGAGAACTACATCCACAGGCAATGATGAGTTAACAGATTCCGTCACCCGAGGTTCAGACCAGAAGCTCAAGCTGTCCTGTTGCAGTGGTTTCCTTGTAGGACTCTGGTTTTCTCCTTCAAGCATTTCACCCACAAACTGAACTTCCTCAGGACACGAAGAATTCATAAATTCTGGCATGGGAGGTGCTGAAGGGGCCTGATTCTCTATAAATGGCGCTGAAATCTCATCAAGAAATAAGGAATTCAGACTGTCCAGAACGGGAGGCTCCAATGGTGCCTGTTTGTTTACAGAGATTGAATTTTCATCATGAAATAAAGAACTCAGAACCTCTAGAGTAGGAGGTTCTAGTGGTATGCATTGGTTTACAACGGGTACAGAATTCTCATCAGGAAATGAAGAATTCAGAGTTTCCAGAACTGGAGGTTCCGACAGTATCTGTTTGTTTACAAAGGACATCGAACCATTGTCCTGCAAAATAAGAAGAGAATTAAGGCAGAGTTTCTTCTCTCATTGGGTTGCTTTATTTGGCTGAGGAAGTGTGCTACATGAGTCTCACCTGAGATATTTCTTCTTCTATTACATCTAACGGTGCCAACGCTGATGGAGGTACAAATGGATTCATCATGTCGAAGGCACGGATCAAAGGCAGCCAGTGCAGCTTGTAAATCCTGGTTGAAGCTCCTAACCTTAATGTATCGCCCTCATTCAGTTCCACAAGAACCTGCGGTTCAATCTTTTTCCCAGAGACCCAGGTTCCATGGGCTGAAAAATAATAGGAACAAGAATCAAAAAACCCAAGAACAAAGAATGAAATAACTTAGTAGCAGAGAAAAAAATGAAAACACAGATGGGAAATTATACAGAAGAGACGGAGAGCACAAAAGGGAAAAAAATGTCTCGAGCAAAGTAAGATACCCGATGACAAATCAACCACTGAAAGTTTCTTTAACGAGGGTTGCGAGTGGATTCGAAGATGAAATCGGCTAACACTGGGGTGCTCCAGCATGATATTGCAATCTGGATGTCGTCCAACCAGCAATATCTCATCATTTTCCTGGTTGTTTTTCTCCCTATTTGCGTCTGGACCGATCGGACTGGGCTCCGAGATCGATGGGGGGTTGTTGAGGAGGAAGATGTTCTTGAGAATGCTACCATTTTTAAGAACTGAGAAAACAGGGATCTTCTTCTCTTCCATCTCCATCTTGCAATCTTTGTTGTCGGCCATGTCCGAGATGGGGTTGGGCTTTCTTCTCACTTTTCTCTCGTTTTTCTGGGGATTTGGTGATGAAGACGAAGACTGGTGTGGAGAAATGGACTGGACCTTAGTTTCAATTTTATTGAAATGCTCTTGATTATTTCATTTTCGATTTTGAATTATAAAGATGACCGTTTTTTGAATGCAACGGCTAGCTTTTCCTTTATTGACAATTTATTAGAGACGTTTTAGCTTAATCAATTGGACACGATGATGCCGGGACGGGCTTTTGAGACCTCATCTGGACACCGTTGGATTTGAACAAGTGCACGAGGATCCCACGAGTAATTCCAATCGTACGTATGTCTGAAGCGCAACAGTAAGAACAAAATTGTGGCTCGGAAGTGTTATAATTAAGAGTTTCATTATTAATACATTATTACTTTATATAATGGACCGAAAAACTTGAATCAAATAAGAAGATGAGAGTTCACATCTGCGCTCCACAAGAGGTGGCCTCACAACGTCCTACAATATATTCTCGTCATGTATTGATAACATCTCCCCATGATAATATTAGAATCGATGATGTCATTATCAGAAAATGTGTCCAATGCACAATAGGAATGTGCTGTGATAAGTTGTGGACGCTCGCTTTGAACCTCTGAAAAAGATATTTGTTCTTTGTTCATACCTTTGGTAGTGTTCATGGCAAGAGTGGTGGCTACCTACATGAACTCTACCAACATCGCAGCCACACATAGGGAACATAATTATTATGTTCGGGAGATGTTCCAGTGCACTGCTGTAGTGCTTTGTGGGCAAGTGTTGGATCATCAAACACACCATTTTTGTCACTGAAAAAAGAAATCAAATACACTTCAGTGTTAAAAATCACACCACCAATGTAATAAGTATGAAGGTCCATGTCAACATCTGTACTTGATCTGTTGTGTAAATTGTAATTTTGGTGATTTGAAGGGCCCATTAAGTACTTAATATAATGCAATGATGCATGCATAGATTAATAAAAAATAGATCAAGTACTGTTGTGCATGCATGCCTATGTGGATCATATCAATAAGTCTATCCACAAGCATAAAGCTATTACCTATTAATAACATTTTAATTACCCAAAACTAAAGCGCTTATTAGAATTGATTTAAACGATTTTAGGCAGTTCCATAGGTGGGTTATGTTTCAAATTCAATATGATGGGAATAGAGAAGAGTGGATAGAGTTATTGAAAATAGATTTGAAGAATCATAAATTAATAGACATAAATAATGGTGAAATGCCAAAACAGAATTCTGTAGCTGACCTGAGATGGTTGGTAAGGCTTTGTTGAGTTGAGTGTCTCTTGTTTGGGTTAAAATGGTTATATGAAATCCAACGTTATCCATACAGCACTAGTGTGGATAGATTATTAGGATATTTCTTCTTATAATAGATCTCAGAGTAATGGCAGTAGGGGTGGCAATTTTTTATCCAACCCGCTGAATCCATTCAATCCACCTAAAATTTAATCCGCTCATTTACTTGGCGGGTTGTGTGATTAATCCATTTTAAATGGATTGGATCGGGTTGGGTTGTGGATAACTGTTGGGTTAACCATTACAAACATAAGTATTAATTATTTAGCCTTTTTTTTATTTTCTTCATTTGAATTAAATAATTTATAATTAATATATTAATTTTCTATTAATTATTGACTAAATTTAGTTGTCTTGAATCAACACACTTCACCCAACATAAATCTAAATCAATTTCACCCAAGTTTGGACCAGTTCAATACAGTCTGACCCGATCCAACATATACCAATCCGGGTCAACTCGAATTCGAAATCCGGGTCAACTCGAATTTGAAATAGACCTCAAACGGGATGGCTCGGTATCGCTTACTTTGCCCGATTTGGATTGTCTGATCCAAAGATTATTCACACAACTCGGCCCGACCCGACACAGGTGATTCAGGTCTACCCGAATCCGAACCAAGCCGGACTGGGTGAAGTCCGGACCTTAAACCACCCTCACTTGCTTTACCCGGTTCTTCTCGTATCCATACAACCCGACCCGAATCCAGCCAGGGTCAGCAATGCTTGCTAATCTAGATCCTTTGGAGTCTCTAACCTAGGGACCAACCTGAATCCGACTCTGTCCAGTCTAGCCCGACCAAAGCGAACCGGTCCAGCCTGGGTCTGGTCCGACTAAACTGAACCGGACCGGTTGGGGTGTGGTCTGACTGGACTGAATCCGGTCCGTTCAGGTCGGGTCCAACCAGTTCAAACTAGTACGGTCAGGGTCTGGTCCAGATCTAAATGGTTCAACCACTCTTGATGTGAGTAACTCAAAGACAATCCAATTAGATAGTTCAACCTGGTCTGATCGGTTTGAAGCTAAGTGGTTCGTCAAATCCGAAACCTGAACATAGTTAAATGGCTTTGCTGCTCGTGTAAAAATAATGCATGTAATGTGATTTGAACCTTCACCACTTGTGTAAATAACAACTACTATTATCACTAAGCTATGACCAACTTATTTATTAGGATGGAGTTAGTTTTTTGTTTTAAGTACATAAATATAAAATTAATGGGTTTGGACGGTTTGGATTGGGTTAAAGCGGGTTTGAGTTGAACCCAATCCATTTAATTTTACATAACTTGATCATTAACGGGTTGACGGATTAAATGAATTGGGTTAAAAGTCAACCCAACCCGCCCAATTGCCACCACTAAATCGCGGTAGTTGCAAATTGAGTCTCCATTAGTTGAAATTCTCTCTTCAAGTTTTGTCCTATGCTTGTCATTGGCACAAAAGAAAATTGGTTTTGGAAAATATGCAAGGTATATAAACAAGAAGCAAGCCCAACTGTTTTAACTGTGGGAAATGGGAAATGGTCAAAATATGCAAGAAAATGCCCAAGTAGTAGTTGGGAAATAGGAATAAGAAATGTATGGGAAATTGGGAATGCTAATTCTGTGAGAATCTTTTTCAGGAATTTTCATAGTACTTTTTGCGGTTTCTTTGTCTATCCTATTTATGTTTTTTCACTATGTTTTGACATCCTATGCATATCCCCATTTTATGGGAATGCCATACTTTTCACTATGTTTTTCCCCTATATTATTGGTTATATTTTTATAGGATTGTTTCATCCCCATGCAAGTAATTATCAAAAAGAAAAACTCCATGCTCCCTAAAGTGCTCTTTTATTTTAGTTGCTAGTTTATCCATGCTTTACTGGGGATTGCAGTGGAAAGCTGAACTCTTTGCTATGCAAGATGTTATCATGGAAAGTGACAACCAACCAAATTCTTATGCAAGTTATGAATAACAACAAAATTATTGTGAAAAGTGATAACGAAATTCTAATGCAAGTTATGAATAACAGGATTGGGTTGTTCACTATGGCTTAGTGGAGATCAAAGATTTATGTAAAGCCATGAAAATGTTCAGATTCAGATTCAATTGTATATAGAGAAGCAAATAAGCCTGTGAATTTCCTTGTTAATTCAGGTATTAAGGAAGGTGTCTTTCGTATTTATAATAATAATAATTTTGCTGAGCTTTTGAATAACATGAAAAGACTGTGTCCTTGATCAGGACTTCTACTGAACTTCAGACCTCCCAAACAAGCACTAATTAATTTACCTAGATGATATTCTCAAACATCTAATCTTTCTTTTCATTATCATTTGAATCCAAATTCCAAACTCAAGTAAGCCTTGTCCCAAAACCGATGTATTAAAAGTGAGGCACATTCTAGTGCCCAAGGTGCACAAAGAATGTGCAACTTAAAATAAAAATAAAAACAATAATAATAAGCAAACATTAATGCATAATAAATATGGAGAGGTGATGTATGTTGTGCTTCAAGGCCATTATGTCAAGCCCACCCCCGAAACCCCAAATTTTAATGCAGCTATGGCCAGGAATGCCCTAATTAAAGATTATGTTCAGGTGTGCCAAAGCTCAGAAGCATACATAATTGGAGGTGGAAGAGTTGTTGGCTGTTTTGGGAGATCTATAATCAGGTACACATTCAGCTCCAGAGTCAAGATAGGAGGTGGTGAATTGTTGAGCACTCGGACACCTTCATAGTTAAATCATTTTATAAGGTGCCCACTGAGCTAGTTGAAGAATGTTGAGTTGGCACCTTCATAGTTTAAGTAGGTGCCAATTCACCTGTTTTAATCAATATTCCATTAGATATTCTACTAAAAATATGTGTTCAATCATTCTCTGCTAATCTACCAAAAAATTGTCAATTATATATTCTGATTAAGAAAATTATATACAATACTAAATTATTGATTCCGGTAAATGGTCAACCCTTTAGAAATTAATAATAAATATGCATAAATGTTAAATAATATAGACACCTTAGGTAGAAGTTTGCATGGAGAGTTAGGACATTTGCATTCTCCATAGCATTGGTAAACCTTCTCCACAGCATTACACTTGGTTAGGACATTTGCATGCCAATCAATCCTCTCAATGTTTTCCTATTAAAGAGGCAAAGAAAATTAAAACAGAAGTGGGATCAATTTAAATGGTCTCTTCTCAGCATCATTCACTTCAAAGGGTCAAACACCCCTGATCTACTTAACTCCCCCACCCATTTAAACACACTCCACCAAGTCATATCAGATTTGACTTTTAATTTTAACAAAATCAATTAAAAATGATTCCATGAAACTAGGATCCAAAGCCTTTTCCTTAAGAGAAGTGATAGTGTCACAGGTCTCATCCATTAAAGAGCCATTGAATTAAAAAAGCCACTTGTCAATAGGGCTTTTGTCAAATAAACTGGGTTATAATATGTTATATTTGTCTTTTTGTGATTAAAGGGGTCTATGGCAGATACTATCCTAACACAAGCATGGGCCATGATCTGATCTATAACATGACTATTGAGATCCATGTTCAGCACCATCTCGATCAGGCTTGAAATAGGATCAGTTGCAAGCCCTACCTACTGGGCTATATATGGTATACAATACTAAATTCAAGTCTTGTACAAAAAACAAAAGAGAAAACAAAACAAAATGTTGTCCTTGTCCTCTCTCCCCACTGTGCATGTACAAAAATGGATATCATCATGAACAGAAAAAGACAATTCAAGATCTATGACTTAAGACTTTGGC